ATGAGAAACAGGAGGCAGTGATAAACTCTCCTTTGTTCAGTGACACTGAATTCACACACAACGCTGAGCAGCAGAACTTCATATAAACCAGAGAATAAAATAGGCATATGGGACTATTTTTGATTGGTGCTGTGTGAAAAAAACTTTAAACTAAATATTGGAAATTTGAGGTCGAAATATGTTCATGTATCCGTTTTTGTTTGACACTAAAACTTAACTAAAATTGTTTTTCGTTCTTAATTGAAATTCAAAAGAACAAATGGTACACAAACCCTACAAATTTAATTTAGTTGTTAGGGTTAGATTGAACATTTTAATAAAAAACAGCATCAGTATTAAGTGCAAAAAAACTCAGAAATATCATTAGAACGTTAACGCTGGCACAGACTGTCCCTCGGACTATAACTGGCCCACTACTGTTGTCCACAGAGCCAATTGCTCCAAATATATTGTCTTCTATTTGTGTCTCCTCTATTTTAAAATGCACAATGATTTTGACATAAAGCTGAAGTGAACTTGAATCCAGACTGGGTGACAGGAGCCGACCCCTGACAATATCCGCCGCATCTTTAAACCTCCTGACAGTGGCATTGTCCCCATTTATTTGAGACTAGTTGGAGTAGTTGAGATGATGGAGAGGAGGATGAGGAAGCTGAGCATGACTAGACCCACTTACAGTGCCCACAGGGACTGACGCACCTGTCACCTGCTCCTGCACTCAAACACAGCAACAATCTGAATCCAGTCTTTATATGGAAATGACTGTATGATTAAACTACTGCACTCACTGAGTTATGTAAAAAGGAGAAGGTGAAATGTGAAATATTGGCTGGTCCTGTACATTTTTTAACATGTATTTCAATTAAAATATGTCTTAACATTAATCAAGGCAAGCAGTGGTTGCCTTGCCTATAGAATCTAAAATCATTGCATGTGAAAAGTTAAATTAAATAGTTTTCGAATTATATCCACATATTTCCCTTCACTTCTGTCAGTTTGAGACATGGTTGTAGTGGTGGTGTCCTTTACTACACTCTTCTGGTCACTGCACAAACTGCAACATCCGCTGTTCCGAACGCCTCATTAACTTGTGTTGTTTTGACTTTCTACGGAGGCCTGGAGGCACAAGTGGAGAGCACGGCTTTCTACATTTGCTCTTACAAGACACAAGCCAGCCAGTTGTTTTAGAGGTTTGCGCATGCGCACTGTAGACCACAGCCGGCTCAAACAGCGCTGAAAAAGCCCACATCTTCATCCTTGGGAACTGGAGATGTGCAGTGACTCCACGTGAGTGCGCATGTGCGACAGGAGACGACAACAGCAGCACGAACTTTCAACACAAGTGACTAAAAACAACTCAGGCCATCATTTAATCAAACAGTGAGCGAGTTTCAGGTTGAGTTTGTGTGAAATGGAGGATCCAGATGGAGCAGAGGAGTGAGAGCGGCCGGTGAGGAGCCCGTCTCATCTGTGTGTTTATGAAGGAGCGACAGTGTGAGTAGAATAACAGCACTATTACACACGTGTGGAGGAACATGTGTGTGTTCTGGACCTGCCCCACTTCAGGGAAATACAGGATGCCTCTTCAGGAAAGGCGCAGTTTTGTATCTGTGAGAGGTGAGTGTGAGTGCTGTTCTAACGCAGGGATGTGTTTCAGGGGACATTTGTGACACTGTATCAGGCTGTGTTATAAGTGCACCTGTGTGACCAGTGCACTGTTGTTGTTAGTTTCTCTTCATGATCTTCATGTTGTACATGTTGTGTACACATGTTACAGATGTGTCGAGCTGTCATGTCATTCATATTGTTTCAGATGCATTATAATAATGACATAGATAGGAAGTGTCCTGAAGGCTCAGCTGCATAAATAAGATGGAGGAGTAGAAACAAACAAAGGGTGTCAGCTACAGTCCAATATCCAAATATTAATTAACTATTAACTATTAACTATAAGTAGGTCTAGGTCTCTCTTATTTGACTCCAGAGTGGCTCAGAATGAATGCAATTAATGTGAGTAAAAATAAATATATTCATTTACAATGTAGTTTGCATAAAACGTGGCGTTATTAGATTGTTCTTGACTATTGATATTCACCCCAGGTCTGCGTCACTGCACACTACTGCTCTTACCCCAGTACAGATCTATTGTAGAAGCAGCTCTTGCTGTCAAAATAAGTCTGCTATATAAAGTGTTTAACTGTCCAAGAATCAGGCAGTGCACTGTTAGCGTGCTAGTTGTTGTTAGCTTTACTGTGACAGGAAAACTCAGCTCTGGTCTGATCTGAGATTTCTGAAAAGTGCTTTCAAACTCATTGCGGTGAAGAATTAGGAGGCTCAGAACACATAAGGTAAGTGACTGATCACTTTGGACCACTGCAAACTTAAAAACAGAAAAAACAGAACAAGTTCACAAAATTTAACATCTTCCCTATAAGCAAGACCATTAAAAAAGTTAAACATGGCAAATTTATGGATCCAATCCCTAACAAAAATTCAAAGGTTCAACATTTATAGATTTTCAATTTAGATGTTTCTTTCAAAAACACAGTTCTGCATCAGAAAATTGAACATCAAGTTCTATTGTAAAGTTGGAATTTGAGCGGAGTCTTCTATTGCAGTACTGGTCTGTATAATTTACGTGTTGGCTTGTTTGGACAGCTTGAAATGCAGCGCTGGTGTGAAGGTCATGACCTACGGCTAATTACGCGAGGAGAGGCCAAGAACATAGGCAAGAATGTTGAAATGTGAAGTCTCTGGTGCTAATTTCTAAACAAAATTAATATAAAATGCAAATAATGCACTTTTGACTTAAATATATGGAAACAAACCTAGGATCATTAAATGTGAGATATAAAAATGTAATGTGTAATGGAAATTTTGGGAATGCAATAGAGTTACATATCAGGAAGTAGACGTTAGCATGTTAGTTGTTAGCTTTATCGTCACGGCAAAACTAGGATGCTCAGAATGCATAAGGTTAGGGACAAATAAAAAAATATAAGAATGAAGTTAATTGGAATTAGATGATGAATGTAATAAAGTATCTGGAGTTTCTAGTTTCCCACGTGCCTTTAAGCAAGATCTTTTTTTTTCTTTATACCACTGACCACACTGTCCACCCACCTGTCGAGCCAGAGCCGAGCTGCAGACATCCTGAAGGAGGGAGTGCACCAGCGTTACACAAACTAAACGCCAATGCTCACTAATGTGCACTTTATAAACCGTTTAATCAAGTCAGAATGGTGTTTCCTCTTCAGAAACAATAAACCATTTAATCAGGTTATAACAGTGTTTCCTCTTTAGAAACTTACCTGGACTTATGTTTCTTTCTCTTTGGGTAAACCTGCATATTTAGTTTGTCTCTCCAGTCCGTCTGGTGTCATCAGATGGTAACTTCATCATTAGCAGATTTTGTTTTTAGCTGAAACTGCTTCAAAACTCAATGTGCAAACAGATCCTTGCACCCTCTGCTAGTATTTATGTTGTCAAATTTTAATCTGAGAGGTACAAATGTGAAATATCAAAGCTAAGTGGAGAATGCATTCACACTTGTCAAGGTTTGGATCTGGTTTGAATCCAGTTTAGTCCCATTATAGTCCTGGTTATGGTTTGGTTCCAAGTTTGGTCAAGTTTTGATATAGTGTGAAGTGTTAAAGTTGTCAAATTTACATTTTCATGCTCATTTTGTCAACTAAATCCAACATAGTTTTAGGCTACGTTCAGGGCTTAACGCTCAATTACGATTTTTTTGTGAAATCCGATGTTTTTGCGAGGTCGTTCACATTTTCAATTAAATGTGACTTGTATGTGATCCTCTGTGTGAACGTTAAACAGCCCGAAAGTGTCCCGCATTTGCACTGGAGACACGACGACGTCAACCACAGCGGGCGTGCTCTGTGTTTACGGAAGTTGTCCAAACATGGACGCAGCATTGAGCACCTGGAGATTTTAAAGTTCCTCTCGTACCGGAGCCAGAACATGAACAACTTGTTTTAAGGAGGAGATTGAGATGGAGAAGGACGAGGTTTTTGGCCGTGGTGTTTTGTGGGGCAGCGGCAGCGACATACGTTGAAAGGAACGTGTGGATGTGGAGACGTAGCTAAGAGTGGTGAGTGGAGATGTGCTTCACTTCAGTGACACGGAGTTCATGAACAATTTTCGCCTACTTCAGCGCAGAATAGTGACGTTTGTGGCTTGTTGATAATGCGTAGGTCGAATGAAGTCGCATGTCAAAAGATCAGATATGTATCGGTTTCAGGAGCACATATCCAAGTGTTCTGGGTCACATTTGAAAAAATTGGATCTGTGTGGTTCAGACTGTCATTAAAAGATCAGATACAGGAACATAGAAGCCAAAAAATCAGATTTGGGTCACTTCAGGCTGCAGTCTGAACGCAGCCTTAGTCAGCCAGAGAAAAGATTTTTCTTTTTAAAAGTACAGTATGTCATTTTCTGAAGGTGGCATGTCACCTGCATGATTCCATGGAAATAGAAAGTTAAAGCCATATTCTGTAACATGCTCCATAGAGATAACACCATGTTTTATGACTGTGTATACTGTGGAAGATTATAGTCAAAGGACTGTTTCCATGGAGACAAGCAGGAGGAGGTCCTCATCCAGGTCAACTAAGAGTCAGATTTGTGGAGATGCAAGTCCACTTCTAAAGACACTAGTGTTTCTGTTTTATTATACTGCCTCATGGTCTTGACTGGAGCTTTGGGACTGAACTTCTTCCTTTCATTATTTACGCATGTTTCATATTTTGTTAATATATCTGCACTTTTAGTCATCATTTTAGTTGACAAAAGTGATTATCGTTTTAGTGAAAGTTTTAGTCATTATAACTTCTTGATCTAGTTTAGTTTTAGCCAACAAAATCATGACACTGCCAAAAACTATGACAAAACATTTTAGTCAAGAAATTAACACTTGTCAACTGGCATGACTTAATCCGTCACCCCAGATGCCCTCCCTGTCACACTGCCGTCACCCTCCTTACCTCCTGCAGGCGCTGGATGTGTTCTCGGCACGTCTCCAAGTCGCTGTCACCCGGCACCACGATCAGTCCCAGGGGGATGGCTGCAGGGAGAGCACAGGAGCGGGGCAATTATCGGACTGCCTTTTGATATGCCGTAATATGGGGAGAGTGGGGAAGCGGAACACCATTAGAAAGTACGTACAGAGAGGAGAGAAGAAGAGGGGTAGACAGTATATGCAGTCATTAAGAGGCTTCACAGGCTACAGACACTGTCCAAGCAGAATATAACAATATAACAGGAGAAGTGAGGAACAGTGAGAAGTTCACATAGATAGTAGTTGAACAATGTTGGGAAGTCTGTAACTAATTTTTCTGACCAGAGTTAAAATTGAAGTTAGATTTGTGATAGGGCTGAACCATTTCTGAAAAATATCTAATTGTGATTTCCATGTCAAGCATCTTGATTGTGATTAGATTTTAGGTTTTAATAATAGGCTTCTGTTCATAGTTCACACTTACACATGTCCAGAAGAACTGACAAAAATACAAGAAGTGCATTAAGGGAGTGTGACGTCACCTATAGTTTTTTTCAATACAAAGTGAATTAGAGTCAGAGTTGATGGAGCCGGAAGCACGCCCAGGACCACTTAATATCTGGAACATGGGGTCTAGCAGGTTAGCTCTAATAATGAATAATAATGGATCAGATTTATATAGCGCTTTTCTGGACACTCAAACACGCTTTACTTCACACTCAGTGATGGTAAAATACTATTGGAGCCACAGTTGCCCTGAGGCAGACTAACGGAATCAAGGCTCCTAATCTGCACCATCACCATTCTGACCACTTTTACAGTCTATGGAAGTGAAACTAATAAAGAATCACATTTCAGACCATGTTAGTACAGATGTAAACTACAGGCTTAGCAGCTTTTTATACTTGTTTGTGAAGAAAATTATGGTACTTAAAAAATTGCAGCCTTTGCAATTTGCCAGTTGTGTCCACTCAAACAACGATTTTGATTCAAAGGTGTTAAATCTTAGTCAGGCACCACCTAGTGTCTCCGCTCAATTTCATTTCTCTCTAGCAACTAGGTCATGAATCAGAATACACTAGACGGTTTGTAAAAACCCCAGAAGTGAGAGTTCAGGCACCAGCCAATCAGAGAAGAGACATACTTCGAGTACGAGCACAGGTCCTGTGCTCAGGTCTCTGCACTGGCTCAGAGAATAGACTTTAAAGCAGCTCTGCTTGTGTACAAGTCTCTCCATGGCCGAGCACCAAAGTCCATCTGTGACATCTTAGTGTCATATGAACCATCTCACACTCTGAGGAGCTCAGGGACCGACCTCCTGCTGGTGCCCAGAGTCACGACTAAACAAGGGGAGTCAGAGTTTCAGGTTCATGCAGCTAAAACCTGGAACAGTCTGAACATGTGAGACAGACTCTTCTGTGACGCTGTTTAAATCCAGACTCAAAACATTTCTGCTTAACTGTGCATATAACTGAAAGGTTTTCATTCCGCACTCTTCTCTCCAATTTATGTCTCTCTTTTTTAATTTTAATCTTCATGATTATTTATGTTTTGATTAGTTTTGTATGTCTTATTCTGTGAAGCACTTTGAATTACTTTGTGTACGAATTGTGCTATACAAATAAACTTGCCTTGCCTTGCCTTCTTGTGTTGGCAAAGATTCCCGAGATCGAGGATTTAAAGGCAGAAGATAATGTTTGGTGAATTTCATCAAGGGGAAAGACGTTATTGTTCTTCTTCCTACAGGATTTGGGAAAAGCTTAATAAACCAGCTAACCCCGTTAGCGGCGCATTACATACATCAGGACCAAATATCAGCGACTGGTTAAATGATAAAAAGTACCTGCCTACTGTCGAGAGGAGGAATTCTAACACTGCAAGGTAAGCGAGGCTGCCAATCTGCGCCATTGGCCCCTCCAACCAACACCATCACTTACACACCACTTTCATACTCGGCAATGTGGGTGAAGTGTCTTGCCTAAGGACACAATAACAGTTTTTTTTTACGACTTGCGCCCCCTGTGGCACCTCATTTTCCCAGTGTCTCCATCCAAGTCCTAACCAGGCCTGACCCTGCTGAACTTCTGAGATCTGACGGGATCAGGCTAGTTTAATCTAACAGATTTTTAAGTTTCGTAGTAGTATGTTTGTAAAGGACTACAGTCAGCAGCTTTTATTTTATTTCAAGATATTTTCTGTTCTGTATTTCTGTTTATTTAAAAATTCTACTATCAAAATAATTGCAGCGTTGAACATTTCAATACTCCTGTTTATATGGCCTTGAACTACTTGCTAGATCTTAAAATAAGTACTGTTTTTTCTGATCAGATTTTTTATTACTGAACCGCTAAAAGAAATGACACAGTGGGAGGTTTATGTACAAAAAAGTGTTTGTTTCAAAAGAGAATTAATCATTTTAGATTTCAAATTATGAGATTAGAATATAAAGGTCCATCATGTAACTTTTCTGGTGGAGTGTGGCAGATCTACTTGCCCCCATGGAGATTGTATTGCTTCACCTGGAAGGCCAAGTTACAGATCAGATCTGCGGAGTGACAAAGCTATTCATAGTAAGAATCCATGTTTTTAAGGTGGTTTTAAACAATACAAATTGAATAAATGCAACTGAATTGAATCAATGGAAGATACGTTTAATACTGTACCTCCTAAAAGTTTACCTAGTGTACCTTAATAAATAAATATGAACAACACGAAAAACGCAATTAAATGTAAATAAATACAGTAAAAACTCATTTGACATCATGCAGGATGCTAGTGTCCCTTGGGTGCCCTGATGGCGACCACAGCCTCAGCATTTTCAGTTTGAGTGTTTGCACGGTTTCTGCTGTCAACAGAGAAAATGATGCAACTGTGGCCAATGTAGCATAAATACATGTGGACTAAAGCCAGGTCATTACAGTAGAGTGTGTTCAGTGACGGCACTGCTCACTGCTGCACTACCTTTTTATATATGGCATTAGAAAGTGGAAATTGTTAAACCCTTGTCCTTTAATTTATACATTCATACATAATCAAGACAGAAGAATTGTCTTGCCTAATGACACAACAAAAGCATTATTAACCCAAGTGAGTGTCCAACAGCTTGTGCTCAACTTATATCACTCAGAGAAGATGTGGTATTGGCAAGATTTATATCAATAATAATAATAAAAAAAAGTCCTCCTGATAATGATAATCAGATGTTAATTTTGCATTTCTGGTTGAGGTTCAAAAAAAAAAAAAAAAAAAGATAAAAGGCACAAATGTAACTTTTCTGGGAGAAGAATCGCCGCCTGCTTCTGCCTGTAGAGATCCTGTTGCTAAGATGTGTCTGAAATGTTCCATATTATGGCATAAAACTTGAGCCCACACACAGTTAGAGTGTATGTTTATCATGATATTCTTTTAGCTGTGACAGGTGTTTTCACATCTAAAACAATTTCATGATAATTGAATGAATGCTATAGATTATTGGTTTAATGTCATACTAGTGGTTTTCAGGCCGGCCAGAATGGTGCCAGTGCTGGTTCCCGTGCCCAAGTGCTTACCAGTGAACAACCCACGTTCATATCATTTAAGTACACCCATGATGCATCATCGACAGAGGCTGTGATTTTGCCATCAAATAAAAACAAGTCCAAACAAAAGTGGACGTCACAGCAAGAAAAATAACAATCATGGATCGCATCATCAACTTGTACTCATACAAATCCTTATTTATCTGCTTCAACATCTGCAGTGGAGAAGGTGGCAGCGACGCCCAAAGATGTAACCTTACCAGACGAACACGGTTATCAAATATCTGGTCTCCTCCGCTGACCACTGCACAATCTTCTTGTACTTTCTTTTATATTCCCATGTGGCCTTATATGTGTGTAAACCCCCAGTGGTCCAGGTGGGTTCCACAGCGTCCATGGGCGTGTACAAATCAAAGTCTTCTTGTTTTGATACAATTGAAGAGTAGGGGTGTGCAAAATATCAAAATATCAATATATATTGTATCGTTTAATCTGATGATACAGTATCGATAACATGGACTGCTGTATCGATATATCAGCAAGAGTATTTTTTGGTGTGTTTTACTAAATTATTTTGTTACAGCTACAGTTTTGTTGTTTGTTTAGAGCAGGGGTGTCAAACTCATTTTGGTCCAGGGGTCGTATCCAACCTACTTTGATCCCAAAGGGGCCGGATCAGAAAACTCATGACATATAAACCCCAAAAATAACAATAAGTTCAAATATTTGTGCAGAGAAATGCAAATCTATAACAGAAATCTTTTTTAATTGATGAACTCTTTCTTTTACAAAATATTATAATATGATGAACAAACTGAAACTTTATGAAAAATTCTATTTCAACACAAAGTTTTAACATCTTGTATGCAAATAGGAATAAGTAAATTTTTCTTGGAAAATCCTGCACTCAGCGTCCACTTTTCTTGTTTTTGCCATTTTGCTGATGAGGGTGTCACAGTCAACAGTCAAAAAGGATTGTTTGGAAAGAGACAAGTCTTTATTTGTGCTGCTCTGGTGGGAGGGGCCATGCACAGAGACGTTGGAGATGCTGATATACTCAGCGATGCAGAAAATTACCAATATTTTAATAGAAAATATAATTCAAATATTTAAGTAGAAAATCAGCCGAGGGCCACATTAAAGGTCTTGGAAGGCCGGATCTGGCCCCCGGGCCTTATGTTTGACACCTGTGGTTTAGAGGAAGAAAACTCTTTTATTTGACAAATTTGACATTTTCACTGTTTTGACGATTAAAATGTTTGTGTTTCATATGAACTTTGCAAAACAAGTGGTTTAACAAAGATTTTTAGCACCAAGATTTAGACTATTTTTTCCAGAAAAATTTGAAATATATCTTGATACAGTGCACTTTTGATTCAGTACAATTAAGGCTGGCCAAAAATAAAAACAATATTAATCAAATTAATCTCATGAGTTTGAGCGCGATTATCATGATTAATCGCATGTTATACGCAAAACCAATTAATGAATTAAAAAGTAGTGTACAGCGCACTTTTATTGGACATATAAATGAAAGAGTCACACATT